GCCGGAAGCACAATTGGCCATTAATACAGCAGTTTCAGACGCAACGGGCTACTCACCGGCTTTCATCCTATTTGGGAGAGAACCAAGGCATCCACACACACTGTACGGTAGGGATCCAGACGCCCCTGAGGCAGTACCAAGTAGCCCAGAAACACACGCGACGCTGCTACAGTTTGTTGCCTTAATAGCAAGAAGAAACCAAGGGGTGGCCAGCGAGGATCAGGCACGCCAGTACAATCTGCGGAGACGCGAGTGGCGATCCAAACTGGGCGACGAGGTGCTCGTGCGACAACATCACCTGTCCAACGGAGCCGAGAAGTTTGCGGCCAAGCTGGTGCCTCGCTTCGATGGGCCATTCACGGTGCGAGCATTCATATCCCCAGTTATAGTGCGTGTGCGACCAGTAGCGGGCGGCAGAGGTAGAACGACACATGTGCGAGATCTAAAAGCGATGAACGCAGAAGACAGCGAAGCCGACGAAGGCAGGGACGACAGAGGCAGCGTTAGTATGGTCACCAGGGCCACGCCACCGACAACTTCGCAGCAGCCGCACAGCAGACACAACAGCAGCCACACCGACAACAACAACAGCAACCCCACCGGCGTCCACCATAGCGGGAACAGCAAAACGGCCGTTCTAGCCGAAGAAGATGCCCATGTAAGCCTACAAACATAATTAAACGAAGTTTGTTGTTACGTTTCAGGCCATGTAAAGCGATGTAGATTACCACACCGCCTGAGATACACACACAGCGCCGAATATACCAGAGACGCAGCAGATGGGCGGTATGGGTACTGCGACCGTGCCATTGGCGATCCCTAAACAGTTACGGCAACAGCAGTCAGTCCCACAGCAGCCATTACAGCAGCCACGACAACAGCAGTCAATTCAGCAGCAGCCGGGACAACAGCTACGGCAACAGCAGCCAATTCAGCAGCAGACGGCACAACAGCTACGGCAACAGCAGCCGGCACAACCGCTACGACGACAGCGGCCAATTCCGCAACGGCCTTTACAACGGCCACGACAGCGGATGCAACAACAAGCCCAGCAGCAGGGCGCGAGCACCAGTAGCAACAGAATCCAGAGGATGACGACACGCCAGCAACACGCAGCGGAAATGGAGAGCGAAGACAACGAGGCGACAGAATGACAGCGCGAGCAGCTGACTGTGAAGGTACAGGTGGCGTCGACAGGTGGCCAAACGCGAGGGGTGGCAGCGCTGCCACCCAGCTGCTACACATCTGCCTTTCGATTATGGCGCGGTGCTAGCAAAATTCGAAAACACCACCGATCGGGCCATTCGACCCCTTGGGGAAAGGGGGAGGTGTAACGACGCGTTGCGCTCCAACCAGCTGTGCGTCGTCACGATGCCTGAGTAGGCGAGTAGTTTAAAGAAGTAGTTTAAGTAGTAGAAGAAATAAGTAGTTTGAAATTGGAATTGGAGAGAAGAGTTTTTAGTTCTGGTTTGGAAGTAGACAAACGCGCACTGAAGCGCACCCTCCTTTTTATACTCTGTACATGAAATGTACAAGAGTATATTAGGTTTGCGGGAGCTGAAAAATGTAACAGGCAGAAGGAGGCGTGGCAGACCCCACAAAGTATATATATTCTTGATCAGCATGACGAGACGAGTCGATCTAGCCCTGTCGATCTGTCTGTCCGTCTGTCCGTCCGTATGAACACCTGGATCTCAGAGACTATGAGAGATAGAGACACCAAATTTTGCACAAAGATGCGTTATGTGTGTATTCTATACGAGTTTGTTTTATTTTTTTGATTTTCCCCCCCACTTCCCCCCTATGGGGGTTTTCCCGATTTTCCATTCGTATAATCGCCTATATCTCGGAGACTATAAGACCTAGGAACACCAAATTTTAGTCCCAGATACCTTATGTGAATACGCAGAAAATGTATATTTTGGAATTCCCCTCCCTCCCCCCTCTACCCCGCAAATCGTAACTCCCGTAATTCTTGGAATTTCGAACTAAAATTTTTGCCAAATTTCATTATGATAGACCGATTTAACAAGAAGTTATAGCCATAAATATATTTGCTGATGTAGCGCTGCTGCAGCGCTGCTCAAGCGCTGCCCGCGGCTGTTGTTGATGTTGCTGTTTGGTTGACTGCGAAAATGCTTACACAGACACGAATTGATGCGCATAGGCATACATACACTCACACAGACGCAATTGCTATGTAAATGTGCAATTATACACCCTTTACGTGAGTTCGAATACCGAGAGAGGTAAAATCGATCAAATTTTTTTTTTTATTTTCTTAATTTTTTTTATTTTCTATAATTATTGTAAACATATGTACAGAGTATTTCAAAGTCGGGACACCCGACTTTAGCTTTTTACTTGTTTGTATTAGGAAATTAAAAACCACGTGGAACATATTCACTTGGCGTACCGCCCTCTTTTATTTGGTGGACACCTTGGCACTTTGGGGTGCCTAATTTATTTCAGCATAAACTCTGGCCGGCGAGTATACCCGCGGCAGAGTAACATCCTTACATCCGAAAATATTTATTATATCTGATCAGATCTGATCAAAGTATCATGAGTTGCAAACTAATTTTATAATGAGAAGATTCATTTATGTGTGTTTTCAATTATGAATTTGGTATAACTCCAATTACTCCGGTATGATCCAATTCAAGGACATTTCCAGGTAGGGAGTTTGACTGGGGCGGTACTTCTCTTCAATAATAACGGCGGTGTCCCAAGGCCAGCTCAGTGCGGATAGAAACCACACATAGAGCAAAAGGGTAAACGCTGACTTGATCTCGGTGTCCAATATACACAAGTATACTCAACCCATCGATCCTTTTGGTTGAAAGAGTTTTTAACAAGAGATGCCAGAAAAGTTACTATAAGAATAACTGACTTGTGGCAGCCAAGCGTTCATAGCGACGTCGCTTTTTGATCCTTCGATGTCGGCTCTTCCTATTATTGGGAAGCAAAATTCACCAAACGTTGGATTGTTCACCCATGCAAGGGAACGTGAGCTGGGTTTAGACCGTCGTGAGACAAGTTAGATTTACCCCACTAATGACAAAACCGTTGTTGCGACAGCATTCCTGCGTAGTACGAGAGCAACCGCAGGTACGGACCTATGGCAATGCTAGCCTGCGTTCTGCCGCTAGTTTTCCTGCGCGGACTCGCTCGTTGGCTGCAGTGATTGTTGTGGGTCCCGGTGCTTCCCCAGGTGGGAAGCTAACTCTGCTTCTCAGCAAGCATGACTGAACACTATCGTTATGTGCCGCTAGCTGTTCCAGGTGGGTTAATACTCTGGCCCGCTGTTTTTACGAATGTGACCAGGCCCGACCTCATCGATCCCGAATGCTCGGAGCAGATCCTCCTTCCTTAGCCCCTGCACCCAGCTTGACTGTACCATTGCACACCACCAAACGTTGCTTCAACTGTTTCAACTCACCACGTGGTCGCGGTTGAAATTAACCAAACTTTATTTAAAAGTGCAACGATGCAGTGAGCAAAATCTGAAAACTGTTTTCGAACTTAACGGTTGGGAAGGATAAATTATATTTTTTAATTAAGGTTTTAAATGTTAATGAAGGAAATTTTACCAATGTAAATTAGCTTGCCACCTAACCTATCCTGCCACTACCCGAATCTTATTTTTCCCAAAGTTTAGAAGTTAGGATGCTCTTTTAAGATTGTATGATGGCCAAGTTCTGCGAATGTGTGAGAGCTTGGCTGCCGTTCCACGATAGCCCTGTGGACCTAGGTATATATCTTAAGCTGAGGCTCTTCTTATACTTTCAAGCTAGGCCATAGACATCGCAAATCTCTCAGCAGCACAGTTCTCGACTTGACTCATTTGGGTCCCAGGCCAAAGGGAAATTTTCTAGCAAACGAGCTGACAAATCACGGTACACTACCACTTTCCTTAAAGGAAAAGTGAGTCTAGGTATACCGATGGCCAGCTGCAAACTGTCAGTTCGGAACCACTTCGAATTTGTTGCAAATCAAATGTGGACCAACAAAGCAGATTCCCACAAAATCACACGTCTAACGCGGCAAGTGAAAAATCTAAAGCGGGCTGCCCTGGTTTTGATATGCTTTGACCTATGAGTGAATAAATATAAACAATTTGTCTACGGAGGAGCTGAAAGGGAATGTGAGATCAGAGCTGCACGAGTGTTCTTGTAGTACTGTCGTTTATTAATTGAAATGCAAGGGTTTATATACAAAATTGAGAATGTGCGTAGGTCTAATTATTACTAATAAGTGATTCTTAAAATAAATCGTTGCTGGGGTGCGTGCATCTCCAGCGTAGGTGTAGGTAGAAGTGGCATTCGGTTGGTGGTTGTTTTTTCACATGTGCGGCGGCTATTCTAACAATAGCTGCCTGCATTGGCTGCATATGCACATGCGTGGCCCATGCGTAGCTCGTGATACGGTCAAGTACGTGTGACATTGCCAGTACGATGAACTTCAGCACTATGGGGCATATATAAACACCAACAATACTCTTGTACCTATTAAGTATAAAGTATAAAAATGTACGACCCAGGAAACCTCCAATAGAATTCATCTATTTTAGGCTAACAAATTACATATGTATTATATTGTATGTCGAAAATGCTGTTTCTGAGATGTCTTTAATATGTCGATAGCGGTGAAAACCCCCAAAGACAAACATGGATAAAGGACACATAAACGAGTACAGAATAATCCACCGATGCTATTTTTGCTGTAGTACCACCAAAACCACTAACCGTTAAAAAAAGAAGTAGTATTAAGATAGTACGTCAATATGTTTTCATTTTATAACCTTTCGTTCGATATATCTTATTTTCACAAGCTTTTCTTTAGACGTCGGTACTAAGCGTCATCACAAAACAATCAAAGGTATTGTTACTATTATCCAAAAAAAAACGTCGGTGCCTGACTTATCGATGTTTGCTTACATCCCTAACATGGACATGATGTGTTGGTTCATTGCTTTTATAAAGAAAAGGGAGAAGTATATAACAATACGCACGATATCAACTGATTCATCAATTTATTTACACGATGATAATTTAGACAAATCATAAAGAATTTCTCTATCGTTACGTTGTTATGAGTCATATTTCTTCTCAAGTTTCTGGAGCCGCTTTATGCTAAACCAACACAAAAATGTTAAAACTTGATTCAACAAATAATAATCAACCGTCAATAATGCAACCACTACCCTTTTTCCAGGTAAGGTAAATTTTTGGCCTATAAGTAGGGTGAAAGCTTCCTCCAACAAATATAATGCAATAACTGAGATTCTTAATTCTTTTGTTTTTGCGCATTGTGTTTACGCTGTACATTCATATGTATGTATGGATGTGCATATATTTATACCTATTGCATTTTACATTATCTAAATATTTACAACTTTTTTGATGGAGTAAATTGTCCAATAGTCGATCTTACAAGAATTTCTAGAATTAATTTTGTGCACTATGTACTGTATGTATATATACATACATACATACGTATGAATGTTTGTATTTCGGGTTCCCTTGTTCCTGAACTAAGCAGATAACAAAACACATACATACATATGTAGCATTTAATAAGAATTGTCGAATACATACTACGTATTTGTATTCATATGTACATATGTATGTATGTATGAAATTTGTAGAACTTCTGTTTTGCAATAATTACGTCGCCTTCATGATGGTATGTCAGTCACCGTTACATACCGGTACAAATGCATCTCCAATCAAACTGCTTTTCTATAACAAACGAAATGAAATTTTGAGTTGAGTGGTGAGAATTTTATGCGAGAACTGATTTGATTACATTTACCCTTTACCCATATACAATTCTAATTTTACCACAAACTTCCAACTACGTGGGGGATGCACCAAGAACTTCTGTCTCTAACCCAGCAAAACCTATATGTATATCAGATCTGGTAATTCTAAATCTTATTTTGCCGAGAACATTAGGCGAAAATGGCAGTATCTACACATCTTGCTATTTCGACCAACAATATTGGCGCCCCACGAGTGATCTGACACCATCTCCATGACAATTGCAATATACAGAATATATGTACCTAATATTTTCTAAAAACAAAAACTTATGCTTATATGATAAATAGTTCTCTGGCATGGTCGGCTTATATTTTTATTTCTTTTTTTATAATAAAAGAATTATTGGAAGTTTCGTTGAAAACGATGCATTATGTCATGGGCCATAGGCACGATGGGTCAAAAATGTGAGTTTAGGTTGATGGATTTTTAACATTCTGGGATACTTGCTTTACCAAATATTTAGACTTTTCAATTATCAAAAATGTGCATTTCTTTACTCTCTTCTTTCTCTCTTTTTCCACACACAGGGTGGTGCACTCAAGCCACATTTGGACAGGGATAATGATTTTAATTCCATACCGTTCATTACCACTAACGAATCTGAATTTGTACAAAATGAATACAGCCCAAACAATCGTTCATTTCTTTTTATGGATGCTAATGAAAATTTACAAATTGCTACACCTGAACTTTTTTGTAAAAAACTAACCTGCAATAGCGAGGACAAAATAAAAGTCATCTCCATATTTGGAAACACAGGCGATGGTAAATCGCATACTATGAACCATGTATTCTTTAGTGGTGAACCGGTTTTTCATACCTCAACGGACCAAAGCTCCTGTACGATTGGAGTTTATGCGGCCATGCAACATGATCAAGGCGTGCTCTGCCTGGACACAGAAGGCTTGCTTGGCACCACAGCTAAAAGCAACAAACGCATGCGTATGCTCCTAAAGGTCAGCTATTATACCTTTTAACCGAAGGACAAAAGGGTATTATTTTAAAATTTATCTAACATTTTTTGGTGCAGGGTAAATCAGGGTCTCTTCAATCAATCACCAAATCAGCCTTCAACTTTAACATGTTATTATACTTTTGTCTAGATTCTTGCCATTTCGGACATTGTGATATATAGAACGCGCGCACCGCGTTTGCACAGTGACATGTTTGAATTTCTTGGCACTGCGTCCAAGGCATTTTGCTTGCATTTCACTCAGGCACTGCAGACCATGGGCAATGGCAACACTCTCGGACCTGCTGTGATAATATTTCATGAAACGCAACATACAAAACCGTTGGAGAGCAGTAAGTACACAATTTCTTCAAATGAACAAAATAATGTAGGCCTATTAAAATTGTACGTACATATGACTGCCCCACTTTCGAAAATGTATTCCTATCCGTATAAAATCAAATTTTAATTAATAATTAATAGATGAGAATCTATTTGCTATACATATAAATAAAACATGTTTATAATTTTGGCCACTGTGCGATTTTTTGTCAAAAAATCAGTTACAAGTGTCGACGGATGAGCCCAATTTTAGATAGTCAACTTATGCGGAACAAATCAAATCGAACGATTAAAATGTGATAAATCGTTGATTTTGAGATATCTCCGTTCCATTTCAATTAATTGCATCCTCGATAATCACGAATCAGAATTTTGACTGGTCAACATGTTCGTCAAAGTCATTTTTGAATCGAGTATGCCACTCGTGGACTCTGTCTTCCCCGAGATATGCAATTAACACCATTAATTTATTTTATCAATTGTAATGGTTTTAAATAAAGCGTGTAACCATATATAAAATTTTTATTTTTCAAACCGTGTTAAGTCAAACCTATGTAAAAACAGAATTAGGTGTATATTCAATAATCTTCCGTCTAAAAAAGGCCCATAAGGGATTTTGTTTCTATATTATTTAGTCAGTCAAGTCTACAATACTTATTTCTATAATACGAGTTATACAAGCTACGAATATGTATAAAAGTAGAAACGATTTATTAGGGCCTAAGAACATAAACATACATTCTGTGTTATTTTCTTTATATAAAGGCTTTTATATTTCCAACAGCCGTTGCCGAGAGTGCCGAGGATAAATTGCGCAACAATTTTGCATTGCTCAACTTAGAGACGAATGCTTTTAGTTCGCTGCGCTATGTGGGAATTCAAACACCAGCGGACAAACAGACCAATTTTTCTAAAATCAACGATGTGTTGCGCTTGGAAATAGAGAACACAGCTGTGCGCTCTCCTCGTAAGCCCGCAGTCGTATTCCAGGCTATGAAATTATTAAACCAAAAGTTTGCCGGGGACATTATTGAGAAAGCCATTAATCCCTTTCCCGAGCAGTATTTCACCTGCCCGGTGCACTGCGAATCGTGCAGTCGACGCTGCCAACGTTCAATGGGTCATATGAGCGATGGCGAATCACACTTTAATACACATCCATGCAATTATCAACATCAATACGAGAACAAGGAATATCTGTGCAAAAAGTGTTACAACAATGGCAAGGAGACTGTGGTCAGTATACGGGCGCAATCGCAAACTGATAGTGCTTTGTCAGGTTTGGCCAAATATATGTGGAAGGGCGATGTCATTGAGTGTCCCTATTGCGGAGAGATTTATCGGGCACGGCAGTACTGGTATGGCAATAAGTCCCCAGAGGCCTCAGTGGTGCGGTAAGATTATCATTAATTTGTAAAAGAGTCCACTTCATTTATCCTTTGTCTCATTGAATAATTATTATAATGCAATATTTTCAGTTCCTAATTAGATATCATTTCAAGACCGAACTCATTAGGTTCTTTAATAAAAGAACTTACTAAATCACTTAAGCATAAATTCGGCAACGGTCACTATCTGATAATCCCTAAGCGACGCATTGTCTAAAATGTACTAAAATGAGTGTGTAGGCGTCATCTATCCGATATTGCGGTGTAAGAGGAGATATTTCCTCATAAAATACTACACGACAGATAATTATATTGTTTGGAGTCAACTCTGCTTGCCGGCTCGCTCGACTCTCGGCTTCTGCCGGCTGCGACCCACGGCAGAATTTCTCTCGGGTCTCTAGCAATTATAGTCTGAGATACAGACGATTATACGGGATTTTCCGTAACGCCCAACCTCCCGTAATTTTTGGCAAATATCATGATCGGTCAATTTGTAAGGTAGTTTTAGCATTACTGTAATTTCTGCCCGCAGACTCACATAGACACAATTCCTATGTAAATGAACGGTTATACACCCTGTACGTGAGTTCCAAGGGGGTATAATCGATCACATAAATGTTTGTAATATTACAAATTCGTCACTTTTTTCCATTTTATTTTTTGTAAATTTCTATAAATATTCTACACATACTATATGTACAGAGAATTTCAAAGTCGGCACACCCGACATAACTTGTATGCGAAAACAAAAGTAATACTTAAGAGCCTTCCCTTAAAAGTTAAGTTAGTTTCCATCTGGGGATGAACCAATAGAAGACCACAATTACATATATGGCGAGTATGATGAAAGGAGTCTATATTGGAATGGCTATCAGCAAATTTAAAATTGTTGTTGTTGGTGGCTTCTAAAAAATATTGAACTTGGTGCAGAGCTGGAAATCCACGGCACCTACAGCTGGCTTCTACGATGTCTAATTCAATGTGAAGCCAACTTGAATAGGCTGTCAACTAACATCCTCCGCTTATCAGGTGATCTTTTTAATCTTCCTCAGGGTGCAAGTGGTGCATGTGTGGAAAGGTGGTAATGCAGTCGTGCGCGGCAATGCACATTCAGCTCAACTAATGCTCGATGGCGTTCATTACTTGAGCGAAGCAATTACAAATATATCGGCACCATCAGCAAAGGCATTGAGCGGATGGATAGCAGACAAGGTAGCACCTAGCTATTGGCGATGTAATAATGAAATCATTGTACGTAGTTCTTAATAATGTTATGTTTTACTCCAAGAAGAAAACTAAATTTCAAATTTCAGCTCTGTCATGCCTGCAAACGTAACTTTGAGAAAACAGGTATGCCAAAACATCATTGCCGAGGATGTGGTGAGGGTTTTTGCCACACCTGTAGTCAACACAGGGCTCCGGTGCCAGCCCGCGGTTGGTTGCAACCGGTTCGTGTTTGCAATGATTGCTATCAACAGCTGCGCCGCAAGTCGGATATAACACCTGGTATGAGATATTTATTATTTATTTGCATGATGAATGTGTGTATGTATAGATCTAAGAATATATTTTTTTGGGTTAAGTATTGGCATAGTGATAGTTATGCATTGCATGCACAGATGTCCAGCATATACTTAAAAGATTTCTAATTTGACGCACAGGATCCAAGCCGACTAACGATGAAGGCGATGTGTTAGTTCGCAAATATGGCGAAACCATCTACAACACCATCAGTACAGTGGCTGCGGTAGCAATAGAATATCCTAAGGGTAAGTACGAGCTCATATACATTAATGAAATGCACAACGTCTTCAAGGTACCACCTCTTGTTCAGAAATTCTTAAAGACACCGCACGCCCATTTTATTGGGTGCCCGATGCTGAATCACCTTGTTGCTTCATTTGCAAAGATGTTTTTGGCAACGCAGAGGAACTAGCATTGGCACAACATGCAGGTCGTCTTAGTGTGGAAGATAATATAAAATTGCGCAGTAACCCTCAGCCGCCTTTCGCTGGACGAACGACAAACAGCGAAACCAAAGCGCCTGGTGAGTGCAAACGGCATCATTGTCGATCCTGCGGCCAGGCTGTGTGCAGCGATTGCTCTAAAACGCGCATGCCAGTGCCGGAACGAGGCTGGCAAATGGATGTTCGTGTCTGTGATTCGTGTGCCTGTATGCCAAAAGCAAATACCTCGACTGACAGCAGCAGCGCCAGCGCCGTGCCCTCTGAGTCTATCCATATAGGCGCCGGTGAAGATATGAAGCGCCTCACGTGTCACTCTGTTAATACAAGCAATCATCTGAACAGCGGTTCATATCAACATACCGGTACCTGCAATGACTGTGAGGATCCTAAAGAAAGTACCGAATGAAAAAACCAGGGTTTTAGGCAGCAACAGTAATTGAAACAACGTCACAATTATGTCTAAATTTTAAAATTAATATAATCAAGAAAGTCAGCCCTTTTATTTTTTCTTATTTTCTCTGCGATTGAAAAATGTATCATAAAAATAGTACAATTGGTTCGTGTGTAAATAACTAACTAGTTTGTATTAATCTGCTACTCTATGTATGTATAAATTACCGCATAATAATGTGCAGTTGATATTAATGTAAGAATGTAAAAAAAAAAAATAATAATATAACTTGACAAAATCGACATGGACTTCATCAAATATGCAAGCATTTTGTTGAAGCAATCTAAAAATCGTGGGTACTTTTATTTATTTAAATGTTATTCAATGTTTAATAAAAAACTTGTAGTGTTTTGGGTAAAAAAGACTCGTGTATGATATCACGCATTTTTAAATACATTTGTCAGGGACTTAAAATAGGAAATTACACATGAATGACAAGATATTTAAAATACAGTGCAATATTACTGACAAATTCTGCAGTGTATTTGTGCTATTAGAATTGAAAATTTTAATTATATTTTGTGTGGGGACAGACAAAACAGCTCTGACCCTTCCACGCTATAATCGACAATGCAATCTGAGCAGTCTTGCCGCTACCCTTCTTCTATGGCTTTACCATCATCCACACAGCAGTCTCTCCGTTCGCAATATTTCCGGTTTTGCCAAGTTCAAGATACATAGTCATTCGTACCTAGTTTATTATCTCTCAGTCAAGCAACCACATAAATCCCAACATGCAATTGAAGCAATTGGCGAGGGCGGATTGGATCGCCACGAAGTCTTGGAAAATAAGATATTGGAGCAGTTCGGCTATCCTACCGTCAGTCAAACAGCTGTTTCACGTAGTGATGTAAATGAAATAAACTACTGCCCTGCCGATCAAGACGCGGCCATATGTATAAAAGTCGTCATTTCTATTAGAACTGAGCTTTCGACTCTAGAAATTAGCGTAATGGTTTTCCTGAAGAGCTTCCATTCATAGTGCGACATATGTATGTACATATAAGCAAAGACGATACAATTGCAACCGCTGTACTGTCATAGTTAGTGGAACTAAGATAACGTTGGCGGTGTCGTCCCCGACTGTCTGCAATTCGTCGGCTCTACAATAGATGGACGATTGGGAGGCACAAATTGATTCAGCTTCCCAGAACATTAGTGGCAATTTTGAGTTTTTTATGGGACCTGCGATAACATGCATTTTCCAATTTACCCACGGGTTTGAGCCGGTATGACACCAAAAATAAAGAGAGTGCGAACTGTATTATTTTGTGATGTAATGTATGTAGTAATTCCTTCTCTTTTGTTTTCTTTTTAAGCATGGTTTATTTAACTGTCATGTGTTTGGTTAAGTCAAATTATCTACTGTAAAGTTGAAAAACATTTAAAGCAGATTACGCATGCCGTAATTGTAATATTTTTTATTGCATACATCTGGATTACTCTGGTTTATATGTTATACTTTCATCCTTGAAATTATGCACCTGTTCGAACCAAATATCTTCTATCAATGTATTATCCTCATAATTTGGTGGCGCATCCTTTGGTTTGCGTAGAGGTAATATCGTATCATATATATAGACCAGACCATTTGTGCTTCCCGGAACAGCACTTCCCTGCACCCACAAGACATTGTATTTAGTATTGATGCGCCAAATACGCAAGCCTTTAGTAATGCGCCAGCGGTTGCCCATGTGACCAGGCAGCTTAGTGCCAGGCCAGACTCGTCCCTTTTCGCCACCACCGCCAATGTTGCCAGGACGACGGTGGGTCTTCGTCACACCATGAGAAGCGGGCATACCCTTAAAGCCGTGACGCTTTACCACTCCTTGGAAGCCATGATCCACGCTAGTAAATAAACGGAATTTAAAATCGTATTTTATCCAAGTCGTTTCTGCTTTGCTTACGTCTTGCCACGCACATCAACGAATTCGCCAACGCGAAAATGCCTTACATTCAGAGGTGTGCCTGCTTCTAAGGCCGATTGCGGCGAAACCATAAACCGTGCCACATTCTTTTTTGGCATAACACCTGAATTACTAAATAACCCACAATATTCTTTAGTTAACAGTGTAGGATCAGTGCTTTCAGCACCAACTAAAACGCAGCCGTATTTTTTTGAATATGGCACATTTGGCCGTCTTGTCGGACGATATTCCTCAGGTGGCACGTACTTAATCACATGATTGTCCACAACCTGCAATAGGGTGGTGCGTATTTTTTCTCCATTTTTAAGCCACAATGGGTATTGGCCAATTTTGCGTGCTATTACTCCGCATCGGCGTAATTCCTGGGACCAGGGCTGTTTTTCGGGAATTGTTTCGTTAGTCAGCTTTTTTTCGTGAGTTTGTTCATCTCTGGTCAAAGCTGATGAGTTATAAGTGTGGTGTAACACTTCTTTGACGAAATTACGGTTCTCCGATGTAACAAAGTCATCGTGCACCTAATATTTAATGACGGCATTATTTGTCTGCGAACTGTTTAAGCTTATTAGTACATACTGTGCGCTTTTTGCGTAAAAACCAATGAGGATTGCGTAGACGCGGCCGGTTAAGATGGCCTTTCTCACGAACTTGTGTAATAGAAACGCTGCCATTGCCCAGACTAAATAAAACCAAAAAGTTAAGCCAACAGAATTAAACTCAGTATAACATACACACCGCAAACGCGCCAAGTCGGATATAACAGTGCGAAGCATAGTTTATTTTAGTATTCACATGTAAAAACTATAAATAAAAAACGCACCGAATTGATGGATAAATTTCAAAATAAAGCCAGACCCTGTTGCGAAACACACATGCGTGCGATAAAATAGCAACGATAGGCCGGAATGATGGAAATGATATCAATATTGCGTCGATAGAATTAATTTTCGTTACTGCTAGCAAGGAAATATATGTGCATATGTACATATGTATATCCTTTGTTCCAATTGCACAATTTCGAAGTATAAGCATTTAATTTAATAAAGCATTTGTTAAAATCGAGATAAAATTAATTTTATGTTTTGCATAATTGGCATTTTAAGATACACGAGATCTTCACAGAATGTGATTGTTTTTAGAGTTTATTTGAGATATTACATTTAAAAATATTGATACGTTTAAATAAAGAAATATTAAATTGTTTAATTGTATATGTATTGTATTGGGATTTGATACGAGAATATTTAAAGGTTTTTCAAACAGATATCTATAAATGAATAAAAAAGCAATGTGCATAGAAACCGACAGGCACACAGACAAACTCGTACGTGGATATTACGTGTTCAAAATATGTAGTCGTGCGGAAAAAGTTCCAAGCAGTTTGTTCATTAACCCTACTGAAAGAGACCAGACAAACCAAATCATTGACAATGCGTATGAGGCAAATATCGATTCATCGACGATATATCTCTACAAAAAAATCGATGAATTGTTTTAAATAAAATCACCAATGTATGGATGGCTTATTACATCGCTATATTCTATATAAAAGCACGTGTACTCTCATCCACGCTGGGACATAGGTCCTATTATTAATTCATTTTGCTATTTAACATCAAATAAACAGAATGGGAAAGAAAACGAAAGTTGGAAAAACACGTAAGGATAAGTTCTATCAGTTGGCCAAGGAGACGGGGTTTCGTTCGCGTGCCGCCTTTAAATTGATACAGCTGAACCGGAAATTCGGTTTTCTGCAACAGTCGCAAGTATGCATTGATTTATGTGCCGCTCCAGGCGGCTGGATGCAGGTGGCTAAACAGAATATGCCTGTTTCAAGTATAGTCATAGGAGTGGATTTGTTTCCCATACGGCCTATTGCTGGCTGCATTTCTCTCGTTGAGGATATTACGACGGAGAAATGCCGCCAATCACTGACAAAGGAGCTGCAATCATGGAAGGCCGATGTGGTATTACACGACGGAGCACCTAATGTGGGTCGAAATTGGCTTTACGACGCGTACCAACAGATCTGCCTTACGCTTAATGCCCTCAAACTGGGAACACAGTTCCTACGTAAGGGCGGTTACTTCGTGACCAAAGTGTTTCGGTCTAAGGACTACAATGCCTTATTGTGGGTGTTGAAACAACTGTTCAAAAAGGTGCACGCAACTAAGCCGAGTGCATCTCGAAAAGAATCAGCAGAGATTTTTGTCGTATGTCAGGGCTACATGGCCCCCAATAGCATTGATCCACGGCTGCTCGACGCTAAGTATGTGTTTGAGGAGCTCGATTTGGAGAATAAGAAGAAAAGTAGCTTACTGCATCCAGAAAAGCGTAAACGAATAAAAGCTGAAGGTTATACAGAAGAGGATATCAGTTTGCGGAATAGTATGGCCGCTAGTACTTTCATGCAAGCGGATAATGCTTTAGCCGCTTTGCAAGGCATAGCTTCCATTACCATTGATGATGAGCGCATAAGAAAGCACAAAAAGACTACTGTAGAGATTCTGGAATGCTGCAAAGATTTGAAGGTGCTCGGTCGGAAAGATATTAAGGGTTTGTTGCTTTGGTGGAAAGTTGTTAGAGAAGATCTTTATAAAACTAAACTGGATGCGGTTATCGAAGAACCTGAAGAAGTTGCGCCCAAACCCTTAACACAGGAGGAAATTGAAGACATGGAGGATACCGAATTACAGCATGAAATAGAAAATTTAGCAGACGAAGAGCAAAAGGAGTTGAAACGAAAGCGGAAGAAGACACTAAAATCCAAGGCCAAATTGCATGAGAAAATGAACCTCAACATGGTTATCAAAGGTGACGAGGGACCTGTAGAAGAGATAGAGCATGAACTCTTCGAATTAAGTGACATATCTACAACGAAAGACTTAGTTGGCATGCTCGATGTGAACCCAGACCATGTTGTTGAGAATGAGATTCAAGAGCAACCAAAGCTCTCCAAATACATTAAATATGACAAGGATGACAAACGCATGGATGACGATGCAAATTATGAGAACGATGATGAGCCCGAAATGAGTGCCGATGAGGAAAGTGATGTTGATTACGACCGCGATGGTCTCTGTCTAAGCGACAATGATAATACACAATGCAGTGTCAAGGATAAGAAGAAGACACGCAACAATCACCCACTAATTCGTTCGGGCGATTTTCGTGACAAGGACACAAAGCGTCAGCAACGCGTTCAGTTGTGGTATGAAAAGGATAACCTTCAAAATATTGAATCTGACGATGACGAAGAGAACCATGACATTGAGAGTTTGGCCAAAGGATATGAAGCAAAAGGTGTTTCCGTGTTGGGTGTTAATACCGACCACAGCTCAAATATATTGCTGGGAAAGAAGGCTAAGCGTCGTGCCCGACATGAAGCACAAAAGGAAGAAATCTCCGAATCGTCAGACTCGGACGAAGAGATTGAAAGTGATGAATTGAAAGTGGATGGCAACGTGACTAAAGGTAAGACAGACAACAAATTGAACATAAATAGTAATGTTATATATAATATACGCGTATAGACTGGTAGATTGTACAAGAATAATTTCGTTAGACTGCTAAAAATTCGAACCTAATCTATTTACTATCAACTCGGCTTTCAATTGTTTTTTTTTTTTTATCAACTAATAAATGAGCCCTATAACAAAAGAGTATTCAATTCTGTTTTGATTCATTTTACGTTTTGTTTTTACATATATCGGTATACCCAAAATACAAAAATTAAACCGTTGTTACATATTAATTAATTAAGATACGTCTCACGTGTTCAGTTTTAAATACATACATACTTGTATGTATATTAATAAAATAATAGTGCTATTCCTGTCGATGATTGTGATTTGCAAAAAAGTAAATCAAATGGCGGAATATTATTTTCAAAAGAGGACAAATAAAATAATACCAAAATTCATACCCTTATAAGATATGCTTTAATTTAATGAAACTAAGGTCCTGTTCATCATTTTTACAGAACCGAAGCCTAAGAAGATACGTCTTAACGAGCAGGAGCTTGCACTTGGCGCATTGCTTATACGTGGTAAGAAAACACGACGCGACCTTATCGATGCTGCCTGGAATCGATATGCCTTCAATGATGACCATTTACCTGCTTGGTTTGTGCAAGATGAGCAGGAGCACATGCAGAAACCACAGCCAGTGCCCAAAGAATTGCAAGAGGAATACCAACGCAAAGTGCAAGAACTTAATGTGCGGCCAATTAAGAAGGTAATGGAGGCTAAGGCACGCAAAAAGCGACGAACTGTAAAGCGTTTGGCGAAAGCTAAAAAAATGGCCGAGAAAGTCATGGAGAATGCCAATGCTACTTCCCAAGAGAAAGTTAACCAGCTTAAAAAGATATATAAGAAGGCACAGGAGAAAAAGAAAGAAATTACCTATGTGGTGGCTAAGAAGCATACAGCGTCACGTCGAGCACGCCGTCCGGCAGGTGTTAAAGGTCGCTATCGTGTCGTCGATCCACGCGAGAAAAAGGACAAACGCTCGAAAGACGCTAAGAAACGAAGAGAAAGCAAAAAGAGATAGATCCCTGTTTTGGTGCTTATATAAAATAAATCCATACTATAAGGAAGCTATATATTATCTTGTTTTTTAAACAGATTTTTGGGAACGAATGTTGCGAAATTTTACCAATAGGGCTGCCAAGAGGTATTCCGCGTCGTGTTCTAGTTTTACAAAAATTACTGGGATCGGTAAAATAATTGTTATTATCGATTCGTAGGAACAAATACCACGTCAAAACAGGCTAATCATCTAACTGGATGCTTAGCTAGCACAAGAGTGCGGAAACTTTCAGTCTGATGGTTTTTGGTGACCATAAACTTAATCCACAAAACTTTTGTTAGTACCAAAATCTTTATTTTTCAATGAATAGCGACAGTCTAATATTACTAATTGTAGGTACAACTGTAAATAAAATTGTTTAATCATAATTACAACTTCCCCAAATTGTTTTGATATATTTTTATCGCACAAATGGTATTGAGGAACAAGTAGAATTTTATATATGTACAAATGAATAAGGAAACATTTGAGAAGCACACTTTAAAGAAAAAGGGGGAAATGTTACAGTCGAGCAGTTCCAACAGCCAAATACTTTCTACACAAAAAAACTTCAACCAGTGTGCCTTAAACGTCGATATACGATCGTACAAAAGAAACAAAAGGGAGAATTTGAAATCGCTGCAACAGCTTGCAGTATACAACTTTGTTTAGAGTGGCGTATGTATGTAAATAGGTTAACCGTTGTGTTATGCAATAAAAATAAATGTAATTCAAATAAAATAAACTGTTTGGGAGATGTTGTACTGGAGGCAAATATTTAAGAACATTTAAATTAATAAATAGGTGGGTAAACTTTAACTTTTTAAAGCTTTTTTTGTGGACAGTATAAACAAGTGGAAAAGACATAGACGATGTACAGAAAGTGCTAAAAGAATGCACTTGCCATAAATCCATAAGGAATAACAAGCCATTCGTACATGCGTCGCAACGGCAAGTGGAAATGTCACAAATCGCATAACAAAGTATACAAATGGGAAACAATTTATAAAATTAAAAAAGAAGCCCAAACAAATAAACAGCTACAATAAAATTTATTTTCGACACTTCGTCTATTGCTTTTACCCTGATTAGTCTTATGAAAGCATTTGTATAAAACAGTCGGATCTGGTTCAATCATTTTTAGCAGTAAGCACTTACGTGTTACACTTACTTTCGTTTCCCTTCCTGTAAAAAATGCATAGATATTTACTGGTCATAAGATTGGCAAAAAATTGTTTTCTGGATGATCAAACTTACAATTTTTATTATACAACAAAATTATGTTATACATATTGCAACCGGAATCCTTAAATCATACATGTGTTACAATTTTTTCGAAAATAAAGGGTTTGACGGAGCACCAATTAATGTAAACTTTAATTTGGATATCAAATTAAAAAGGTATTAAAGAGTAAAACTTTCAAAATCTTTATACCTCCACCAAGTGCATGTCGACAATTCCAATGTCAATTAATTATGAATGATGTTTTAGGTATAATCTAAAAGTGTAAATGGATTATTGTTCCAAAGAAAATCCGCACAATTACTATTTAAGACAGATCCAAACAATAGTTACGTTGTCTGCTAGATCAAAATTGTTCGCCTGTTTGAAAGAATAGCCTTTGTCTATTTCCTTTTTTCACATTGCGACGTATGCGTTTGTGGGTACTGGACTTGTATTGTGTTCTAGTGCTATTGCTTCCACCTTTTATGTCTAATTCTTAATTTGGTGAAGTTTTAAAGTATACGAAACGCATAGGAATCAACCATAAATGCTGAATGCAAAATGTGTTTTGCCAAGTCATTTTCTTGTCACGTATGCGTTAAAAGTATAAGTATGACATTTGATATTTTTTTTTTTTGGTCTTTTTTCTTTTCTTTGTATTATTAACAATCGGTGGAGTTGGCTTCGCTATCAGCAATATTTGTTGTGGAACTTGCTCCTAGTGTAATGTGACTTCCAGTTACGACTCTCTGTCTTAGTGTTGCATCTTCTGCGGGAGCATTAGTAATTAATTTTTCCAAGTCATCACTTTTTTGTTGCCCATCGCTGATAGAATTATTTATGTTTTCGTTTTGCTTTTTAACATCGCTAATGCTTGAAATATTCTCGTCTTCCTCATCATCATCGTAGTTGCTTGGTTGTTCACCCTTGCGCAACAGCTTACCCACAAACTCGTATTTTTCTAAAAAATAGTTCATCAATTTTAAAAACACCGCATACTTGAAATACTTGCACTAATAACTTACCCTTAAATTGCATTTCCCACTCGTTTACCGAGTCCATTTCCATAGCATTCAGGTCGCTCAAATCGTCATAGTCATCCTTTTCGTTAGCCGCCACGCTAAACGTGGCTAAATTGCGTGAAGCATCTCGTCCAGCAAATGTAGCGTAGGGGCCTCCTGCGAAATATAACAAAAAATTAAAGGAACATAACGTTCGTATCTCAATAGTAAATAAAATAGTTTCGGCAACGAAAGCCTTATGATATACATTTTAAAACATTTCACTTTCACGGGAGTTCCATATAAAAGAGAATTTTATTTTGGATGGATTAGACAGCTTACATTCCAAGTTTGGGCTCTGTGCCGGTTTCGGAACCTAGACAGATTGGCATGTCTACATCCACCCATCCTTAAAAGCTGCTTAAGAGTATTAAGCGTTTTGAGGTCGAGGATGTTTCCATTTGCCTGTCATAAACTTTAAGTTTTTTACAAACGTAATCAGATAGCGATCCCATACCCTGTAGGTACGGAATAAATTAAAAACGGAAAAGAAATGTATGCACATAGACACGCATAGACATACATCCACAGACATATTGATGTAAATGTTATATATTTATTAATTTTGTTTATTAAAAACTTTATTTTAAATATATTAAATTGTTTTGTGATAGTTGGTACATAGTTGGTTGTTTTTAAAACTATCTTAAATAGTAGTGGTTTTATGTAATCTTACAAGCCCCTCGAACTAAATCGAATCACCATATCATATAGCTCACATTTAAATGTTAAGACAAAAATAATTTTCTTACGGGCAGACGGAAGCAGCAACGAACATTGGGATTCAAAAACGGTCTTCTGAACATGGATACACTTATATTTCTTGTTACCATCCAAAACAATCTTATTCAATTTTAACGCTTTCACTTGCTGTCTAATTATATCTAAATATATACATACATATGTATGTGATTATATTCAATCGATCAAATACAATTTAAATTCCGTTAATACATGATTTTCAAATCGATCGGTGTAAAATAAATCTGATTTGCCGTGCGTTTAGGGCGCCACAGTACCGAAGTCAAGCTGACGTTTTCACTACATTCTCACTGATATTTAAGATGTTATGACATTTTCAAGCGCACTTCATTATAGCCTGTACCCAAAGGGGTATACGGCTATACTAGTTTTGTGCGAATTTTTGCAACACACAGAAGGATATACATAAGTATATATAGTAGTGATCAGGATGACAAGACGAGTCGATAGAAAGTTTAGAGCTAGAATAACCAAACTAAGTTCAGGAAAGAACAAGTTTGTGGTTTTTTTGGATGCACATCTGTACTGCACACAAACACACATAGACACGATTCTGATGTAAAGGGCATGCTGTTAAAATTGTAATTAAACATATGGGTCAATTTATGTATGTATGTATTGAATATTTCCAATTTAATTAAATTAATTTAATGTTTTTGAAATTAATTTGAAAAATTTGTTTTCTATTTTTGTGGGAGTAGGTACAGGGTATTTAAGAGTTGAGCCGACTCAACTCTAGCATTCCTTTCTTGATTTTATGTACATACATAAGTCATACGTGACCGGCGTTTACTGCATCAAAAAATCACTAGCAATTTGGAGTTGCTTACCTGGCCCATAGAAACGTTTTCCTTTAGTAACATCATATACGTTCCCATTGACAGCTACCAATACACGACCATCTGGTTGATTTCCGTCGTAGGAACGCAGTTCTTGGACTGTAAAATCTCGTCGCAGTTTCGGCAGTGCAGGTTCAACTGAGCTCTGTGCGCTCACACTGGGGACTTCGGTACGGTCTCTCACGATTTTGTATACCAAAAAGCAAATTATAGCAAGTAATGCCAGATTCATGGGACTATAAAAAATTTCGCGCAATAGATCAGACAGAAACGATGACTCGACCATTGCGTCGGCTTTTAATTCATCACCCCCTGTTGCTCCGTTAATGGAATTGTCTGCTGCGCCAAGCGCTCCATCCACGTCGCTGTTGATGTCCCTTAAAAGATCCTTTTCAATCTCTGCCATCTGTTGTTTTTTATTTTAAATCGTTCTTAAATGCTGCGCGAACTTTGAACTTTTATTTTCCTATACACATAAGGTAAGTAAAGATAGGTATTAGTGTTTTATATACAATAAAGGTATTTACATATATGTATGTATACGTAAATGAATACACATATAAAAATATTCAAAGAGTTACAATGACCACAACAAGCACGATAAAATATTGTAAGTATAACAACGAACGAACAATTTGAGGCAGAAGGCAAAATCGTCAAATCTTGCCCTTGCCGTTGTTTATTGCACTGTTGCACCGATATGTACATACATACATGCGTGTGTATTTATCGTTCCTTTTCAGTTCTACTGATGGTTTGCGCACATTATAGAACCGATTCGTGAACTGAATGTAAATATGTATACAAACTCGCGTTAAATTGTTTTGACTTGTAAATTCTTTAGTTTTAGACAAATTTTATGGGTGCGATATCACTACAAAAACATGTCTACTCAGTTGTCAACGACAATATTTATGATTGTTGTACAAAATAATAACTTACTGGCAATACTATAATGTCTCCGAGGTTGATTGACTTGATTTCATAAAATATGTACTTACATATATACATTTGTATGAAGTTTAAAATCTGATAACCAAGATAAATTTGTTTTTGTGCAAAATTCAGAATAATCAAATCAATAAATTTATTGTAGGGGTGCATTAGAAAGCTTATGGAAATTGTATGTAACGTGTATCAGTTCCGCAGTCCAGTAATATGTTAGTAGATATTACTGGGCTCAAATACAACTACTATATGAGTATATATTTATTGAATGAATGTGTGGATATTCATTTGCCTTGCCAAAATATACGAATTAGTTGTACATTATCTGCTCAATAAAAGCAAAATGGTAGCGAGTTCAAGATATCGAAATCTGGCGCCAACATTTGCAGATATTACGCATACCTAACTCGTTCTTATCAATCCCCGAGGAAATTATTTGGCCGGCGCGGTCAAGCTTCTGCAATCTCTAATTTGAGCCCAAGTTTATTTTTCTCGGGAAATAAACGAACAATTTAAATGTAGTGTTTTTATTTCCAAAACAAATCTGAAATCGCATAACGATTGTGCATTACCTTGTGCGAACTCTGTAATTTATCGATTTATGAAAAGCACAAGATTTACGAAAATGTAATTAATTAAGAACAAGCAATGAATGAAGCCCCTGTCTTAGTTATTTAGTTCTCTGGCTAAAACCTTGCAGCATCATGGACTACAAAAAAGGTAAAGCCACCGGAAGCATAAAAAATATACACGCCATAAAAATCGATTCGCCTAACTTTGTAACTTAAGCGTCCTCTTGAGTTGTAACGGGACAACGGTTCGCTGGGCTTATCCGCACACAAGCACGTATGGAAATTAAATACAAATTGGGAAAGTCTAGTTGAAATTTAATTTGAACTGCATTTTCTCGGGTAGTTTCCAATACCACGCCGACATATTTCTAAATGGTTATACTCTGTACATTAAATGTACAGGAGTATATTAGGTTTGCGGGAGGTGAAAAATGTAACAGGCAGAAGGAGGCGTGGCAAATCCAACAATGTAGAACTAATTCTAATTCTGTTTTTACACGGTCATTGTATGCACGGTTTTAATTTACTACGGATTGAAAATTAAAAATTTTATATGTAGTTATACTACTTTATTCCATTTAGCACGATTCATTTTGCATATGATCAATGTCTTTTATTTACATGATTTTTACTGGAACCAACCTTATGTGTAAAAACAAAATTAGGTGTATATATATTCTTGATCACCATGACAACACGAGTCAATCTAGCCATCCGTCCGTATGAATACCTTCATCTTAGAGACTTTTAAAGCTAGAGACACCAAATTTTGCACAAAGATGCTTGTGCGTGTACGCTGTGCAAGCTTGTTGATTATTTCAAAGTCCCAACTTTAGCTTCTCCACTTGTTTTTTTTTTTTAATATTTGGGTCAGGCTCTCAATTTGCTTATATGCGAATAATTATTAAAACTTTGCACAGAACAGTTTATATTAAAAGAATTTGACTCAGCTAATTTACTGTCTGCGCGTCCTATTGCGTTTCGGAAGCACCGCCAGTACATCGTAGTTTTTAACCAATATTATTTGTGGCATTTCATCAATCCTGCTTATTCACAAAACAAAAAAATATTGACGCTTTTCTATAACATAGTTGGAACAAATCTGGTAAAATGAATCACTAGTTTTGAGATCGGTTGAGTAGTGTCCGAGTACATCGCAGACAAACATTGTCAGGAGATTTCTCTTGTCAGACTGATTAACAATATATATACTTTATTGGGCCGACTATGCTTCCATCTGCCTTTTACATATTTTGCACAAACCTAATAAATGCTTTTTATCCTACGGGAGAGAGAGATTGCACTTATGGCTATAACTTCTTTCTAATTTACATATCATCATGGTCGTTGAATGCTCCTAGAGGCAGCTGACTGGCAATGGCACTACAATTGTCCCGTACGTTGACGTTGACGGTTTCCTGTTAAGATCAGATATTATGGATACACAACCCAACTCTTCAATAGTTACGTCATTTTTCAATGGTATCTGTTCATGGGTAGAGGTGAGAGCTGGATGAAGGTATCCTCGTGCCGAAGATCAGCTTGGCTGGGGCCCTCTCAAATAGCCGGGCGAACCGGACTAATCTAGCTTTGCCCGGATACGAGGATTTCGGCTCCGGGTGGTCCATTCCCTTCTCCGCCACTCGTGGGGGTCATTATGAAAAACTTTAATAGCAAAAAAACAATATCTACACCTGAACAATATCTCTGAACTGGCAAAGGTGCGATCCGAGAGGACACTTGTGGAGAATAAGATGGCTAATCAATCCTGGCCGGACCCGATAAAAGTCGGCTACAGCGAGCGACGCACGGCGGCTCGCATTCTCAGACGTCATGCTACTGAGCCACCCGAAGCAGGGCAGGCATCGGATGAAGCTTTGAATAAGGCGGGTGCTGTTTAATTTAGTGCTGAATTATCAGATCAAAACAACCAAATGTCAGTGATCAATAGAAGAAGACCCAAACACAGGGTCGAAAAAGCAAAAGACCCAAGGAAAATCCTGGTCACTATCGTTTGCGGAGGTGCCCCGATTACGCAGGCGGTTGTGCTGAAAATCTTCCAACTATTCAACCCAAACTTGGAAACCCAGGGTTGAAAGGTCATCAGCACCGAAGCCATAAACAAGGTTATAATGCTGGTCGTAATGTTGCTCAACAACGACTGCCTCGAACAGCAGCAAGAAGGAAGGGAGAGTCAACTTCGGCTATGTCTGGCTAAATGAGTATAAAGCTGACTCAGAAGCAATTTGGCCGAGAACAGCGATGCCATAGAACCAGCCAGTAAGGAAGAAGTGGAAGTCGACATTGAGAGCCCCAATTCGGACATACGCGACGACATCTCCACAAGTTCGGACTACGGGGCGACAATAGGTCCCCTCTATACCGAGCATGAGCTTCTCGAGGACACCAACGGGGAAGCTGATGCGACACCCACGGAGGAAGGCGGGAGATTGTCCAATGGTGCAGGTCCTCCAAATTAACCTGCTCCATAGTAAGGCAGCAAGCGCATCATCCATGAGAGAGATGCCAATGCTCACCATAGCCAATGGGGTAGTAGTGATAGGTTGAAAGAGGCTGATCCGTATGTGAGGTGTTAGACCAAGCATTAGCATCAAACATCCTCTTCGACAGAATACTAACGTGGAAAGTGAGTCACCATCCATTCTCGGACCGTAGAACTATCTAATTTAGGCTTAAGTACCTTCGTGCGGAAACTGTTAAGAGAAAAGGGTCGACTAGTGGCCCCACCTTAGACTGGTACTAGGGAGGAGCTAGAGAGTTTAGTCGCAGACTTCACAAAAACACAAGAACACTCAGCAAAGCCTGCCTAAAGACTGTTTTCAGGACAGGTCGAAAACCACCCTGGTAGTCTGAGCTCGACAATCTCAGGATCATTAGTAGCAAACAATTTAACAATCCAGTCGAGTCCACATCCGATGCCGCCAGACGGCAGATGGATGAACTCCTGAAAAGATTCGCTCGACCTACTGATGGGCACTTACTTCCCGGGGTACACCGAGTATCCCAGTACAAGCCATCCCCCGTTTGATAAATAGTATCGTGACTGAGGATCGCAAAACCTGGGCCATTACAACTTTCAAGACCTACAAATCTTCTGGGCCAGACGGAAATATCGTGGCCCATCTTCAGTTCTTTCTAAAGCACATAAGTTCGTGCCTCCTGGTGATGCTTAGAGGCTGCTTGAAAGTCAACCACATTCCGGTCAGCTGGAGTTGTTTTCATTCCCCAAGCTGGAAAGACCAAAAGACTTTAGGCCCATCATCCTGTCCTTGTTTGTGCTTAAAACACTGGGGATCCTACTAGTGACTCATCTCCAACAGATTATTGACTCGGCACTGCTATCTAATTCTCAGCATGCCTATTGAAAAGGAAAATTAACTGACACTGCTCTCCAACTTCTGGTGTCTAAAAGAGGAGTTCATTATTCATTAAAGAATATTCCGTGGTAGCCTTTCTAGACATTCAGGGCGCTTTTAACAATATTCCTATCCCCACTACTCTGGATGTTAACAGCAAATCAGCTGTTACGGCGAATGGGGGCAGATAGTCACGATGTCATATCCTACGCGGACGACGAGACCATTATCTGCAGGGCAAAATTTCCCCAAATACGATGCACTATGGAATTTGCCCTCTAAGCCGAGCTTGTACTTGTAGCGGCTTAACCACACAACTGTACTGATGTTAGGCATGGGCCTAACGCACGCTATGATCCGGCTCTGGCTCGTCAGCAATTGGGTGGTGTTCATTACAGCACTTACCATGCAAGCCCTCAAAAAATTATATTATTTAAATAAAAATCGTGCATCAGACGAACTAGCAAAAAACACCTGCATATGGACCAAACAAAGAGATTGTGTACAAGAACATTCAAAGAAAATAACAGCTACAAATAAACATTAAGGCAAAATAACTTCTTCAAGCAGCTCAGCTGTGGGTGCGTGCAATGACCCCTTTTGCTCTCTCAGCTGAACAGCTTCGGAAATCACAGCTGGGCGGAAATCAAAAGCTATTTCTTTAGATAGACATTATAAAAATGAATTCATCGATAAAACAACTAATCTAATTATTCCACTCATGTTCAAATTAGTTAATAACAATTAAATCTATTACATTTCATAAACATATGCGGTATAAAATTGAAAGCAAATATAGCATTAAATATACTGATCGAGAGTGAATCACCATTACGTACACAAAGAGGAATGTGGGCTCGCAGCAACGAAGAGAAGGCAAATCTATTTGCCGCCCATTTAGAAAACCAGATC